GTCGCATTTCAGCACGGGGGTATTTGCGCGGCCCCAGGTATAGTCAGCGATTTCGGCACCCGGCGTCGGCCTGCCTCCTTCCGGTGTCTCTTTCCGGTTCTTCTCCACGCCGACGACATGGAACCCCTCCACTCCTCCGGTGACAAACCGCGCCCGCCCTGTGGCGTTTGCCGCCCCCTGCAGGGCCGAGCGAGGGGACGAGACTGGTGGTGTCATGCGGGAGGACAACGTTGAGAATTCAACAGTGGCGCTACATCAGGGAAGCTGGAGACACGGAGGTGTGTCACCGCAGAAACGGTGGGGTATGTTGCGCACCGTCCCGCCGATGACTCTGCCCCAGAGGTCCTCGTCTGGAGGCGACGACGAGCGGGTGAGCTACGTTTGCTGGCAGAAGCCATGGCCGGTGTGGATTCGAGCGGCCTAGGGAGGCTACCTTGATGGCAACGTTCGAGCTCTGTGGTGCTAAAGCGCACCCTTGCCCATCTTGAGAGTGACGGATACGAGCCCTTCCTCCTCGATGGAGAAGGCGAACTTGAACTGACCGTTGGTGGTGAGGAACGTGCGCGGCGTGCCGAACCACCGGTGGATGCGGTGGACTGGCTTGTGCTGACGCCCGCCTTGTATCCGAATCGTGACGTCCACGAACGGTGCCTCCTCCTCGGGCCCTCCGCAACACAACGGGAAACGGAGCTCCTCGCATAGACACCCGAGAATGCCCCACCACAGCGATTTGGATGACCTGGGCCCGCTTTTCCTTGCGCGCGCGCTTCGATCGATTCGAGATGACCGTGTCGCGCTTCCTACAGGAAAGTTGCTGCAGATTCAGAACAGGCCCCGAAACAGGGCCGGCGCGAGGCCAGATCGCGGCTCCGGCCATAGAGGAGGAAGCTGGCGAGCCAGCCGGCACCTGCAAGGAGGCTCTAGAAAGCTCTGGAAACATTCCACTTTAGGAGGTGGGCGAGCCGGCTGCGCCCGCGACGGTGGCGAGGATGCCCGCGACGAAGTATGGGAGGTCCGGCGACAGCTCAAACAGGCCTCCGAGCAGAATCGGCCCGATAACGCGGCCGACTCCCATGCAGACGGCGCCGAGCGAGACCACCTGCCAGCGGGCAATCTTTGACAACTTGAACCGAATCGGGACGCCGAGTTGGGCCACACAGACCTGGCCCAAATTGCTGCTGCCTGCGCGCTCCGCGAGGGCGGGCGAGACGATCGAGCAAGAGAGGATGTAGCCTAAAGAAATGACGGCACGGCCGTGTGAAGGGCCGCTGTTCACAAAGAGGCGATCGATCTCGTGAGAGCAGCCGAGGGCAAACAGGGTCTGCGCGCAGCAGTACCCCAAGGTCCGCCGTCCGTCGAGCGGCAGCAGGTGGAGGAGGGAGAGGGAGAACTGACCGAGCGCCAGGACGACGGACGAGAGCACGGCAGTGCCCTGCACGCCAAAGTGGGTCTGACAGCGCGGGAAGGCGATGACCTGCACGCCAACGCCAACCACGCCCTGCGCGCCTACTTCCATTACTCTGGCCTCTCCGACCCTGACGAGGGGGCGAAGGGGCGCGGCCTCCCCGACGAAACACCCATGACGAATCCCATCTCGAGGTTGCCCCAGCCAAGCCGCTCCTGTAGAGGTAGCCGGGCAGCTTATGGCCGAGATCCAGCCCAAATGTGGCCGATGTATCCGACATCTAGCCACAGTCTCGCGCTGAGCCGCTCCTGCAGGAAGAGCGCCGTGCAGGTCATCATCGTCGATCCGCTCATCGTGAGGAAGGCTGCCTGTGGACTTGCACGACGTGTCGTGGACGTGTCGTGGTCGGGTCATGGACAGCGAACCGCGAGAAGGTAACCGTGGCGGAGATGAGCCAGATCGCGCGCCACTCGGCCTCCTTGGCGTCGCTCTGCCTGAGAATTGAGTCAATAGCCAATATTCGTCGCGCCCACTCAGCCCTCCTCGGCGGGAGTCGCTCTACCGCCAGCCGCCCCACCCCGTCCGCTTGTCCACCACGGTCCCCGACGGCCGCTCGGCCGCCTCCTCGTTGTGCTCGAGGAGCTTCGTGAGGGCGCCGCCGCCCTTGGCGCCCTTCCGAGCCTCCCCACCAAGCAGCAACGAGGACATGCGCAGCCGGAGACCTGCCGCCCGGGAGGTCTCAGCCAGCTTCTCGACCTAATGATGGGCAGCTCCGGTACTTAGTAGTTAGAGGAGCGCTTGAGCACCTTCTTGGCCAGAAGAAGGAAGGCGCTAAAATCCTATTCACCTCCTTGAGCCGCGAGGGCGACAGAAGGTTGAAGAAGGCGACGGCGGCCGCACAGACGGAGGTGGCGCTGCCAACGAGGAACGGGGCGGTGACGCCGCCCAAGTTGGCGAGGCCTGCGCCGATGGGCGGCCCGAAGAGAAACGAGACGCCCGTCATCGCGCCTAGCCCCGCCATCAGATGCGCGCGCTGGTCGGGCGGCACCTGTTCAGATTGGCGTGAATCGGCGCTGTGGTCACAGGTGCGAGGGCCTGCGGGTGGCGCCGAGCACGATCTCCGCAACGTAGGCGTTGGCGGTCGCCATGCAGCCCGAGACGAGGCCGTGGAGTGCACGAGCCTATAAGAACAGCCAGCCATGTCGGGCAATGGCGGTGTTGCCCTCAATCACTCCTCGCGCGCCAGGATCAGGGAGTAATAGGACCATGAGAAGGCAGAGACGGCAAAGCCGATGGCCGGCCCAACGGCGGCTGCGATGAGTACGACCCGCCGACCGAAACGGTCGCCTGCCCACCCCATCCACGCCTGAGATAGCACCTACGACACGCGGCAGAAACCTCACTTGCCAGGTGGAGCAACTTGGCGCCTGGCGGCAAGGCCTGCGTAATGGCGAATGCCGCAAAAATGCTTCCCAGTTCGTGCGGCCGGGCGCCCAGCTGCTGTGCGTAGAACGGCATGACGGGGAGGGTTAGCGCCTGACCAAGCATGTCGATCAAGACAACCTGCGGGGGCACTCACATTTCGGTCGAGACGGACAGCCTCACTCTTGGCCACTAGTATGAGCGGTGACCCGCATCACGTGCATCCTAATGGCTAGGCTGTGTGCACGGCATCTTCTAGTAGAGCGGCAACCCGCATCACGTGTATCCTATGGCTAGGGTGTGTGCGCGGCATCTTCCATTCGTGCCGTGTACACGCACGCAAGCGCCCGCTGCCTCGCCGACAGCACAATCAGCCTAGGCATGGCTATGGCTGCGGCAAAGCATCGGCAACACACAGATAGATTACGGTGCGCTCTGAAGAACGCTTGTTTTTCTTCTTCTGCAAGGTTGGGTAGGTGTGAACAACACCTCCTGAGAACAGATTACGGGTGCGGCCTTTGTGTAGAGAGAGAGAGAGATTTTCAGTGTATGTAGCTCTTACGAACATTTTTAGCAGGTTTTTGTGTTTGTTGTGTAGTGATCTGTGATCTGTAATATTCCGCGCGCAGGCGGCGGCGCGCATTTTGTGTAGGAATCCTACCGAGGCGGTGCCCGGTGCCGAACCTGTCGGACCTTAATAAATACAGCCGGATGGTCACTTGCTGTAGCCACTTGACACGCACACATCCGCACCGCACCGCACACTCCGCACCCGCGAAGAAGAAGGAAGTTAATTAATTAATAAAAATCTCTCTCACCCGCGCCCCTATAAAAAGATTTTTTTCTTCGCTCTCCTCTGTTTGTTCATAAATAAATAAATAAAACGGGCACGCCAAACGAGGGGTGGGAGAAGGACAGGGTCCCCACCTGTTTTTCTGTTCTCCCTTGCCCGCGTGCTTTCTTCTTTTTTTGTGTTCATCTCTGCGCCTAGGCACTGGGCCTCTCCGAGGTTGCTCACCCCAGTTTGTGGTACTGCTGTGCAATCCCACTTCTTGCTTGGGATGCCCATGCTGAAATTCTCACCACGGCATCGCGTCCTGCTCCTCTGCCTCGCGTTCGCGCGAGGTGCAATCGCGTTGCAAGGCGCAGCCGCGTCCGCACACCATCGTCCGTCGCCTTGCAGCAGCAGCAGCGGCAGCAGCGTCGGCAGCAGCGTCGCCAGCAGCGTCGGCAGCAGCGTCGGCAGCAGCGTTGGTCACGGCAGCAGCAGGCGGAGAGCCACGCCGTGGCTTCCGAACGCTGCCGCGACGCTCGCCATCGCCTCCTCTTCGCTGCTGCTGCCTCCGGCGCCCGCGGCGCTCGCCGCCGACGTCGCCACCCGGACCGCGGCGGAGTTCTCCTCGACCGCCGGGTTTGAGGAGTTTGCGGAGCAGGGCGGCAAGATGAAGGCGGACCCCTCGTGCTTCTTCAACCAGTGCAAGGAGCCGACCCAGGCGTGCTTCACCAACCCCGCCTGCCTCAAGGGCATCACCTGCCTCGGCAACTGCCGCGGCGAGCAGCTCTGCGCGACGCAGTGCTTTGCGAGGTTTGGGTCGGAGAAGCTCAACGCCTGGCTCGCGTGCACACTCGAGGCCTCCATACTACTCAGAGACCTCGATACTAGTCGTGGTCTTTGTTAGCATCGCGTGCACGCTCGAGTAGGGCGAGTGCGCCGTCGGGCGGCGAGCCCCCCCCCCCCCCTTGAGCCCTCTCGGGTCTTGCCTCGCGTAGGAGGAGGAGTGCGTCTCCACCGGCGTCCAGCAGGACACGCAGGCCGCCCCAACCCCGCCACCCGACCCTGCACCCCCTTCCCCGCCCGGCCGCCCGCCCGCCGTTGACCGCCCGCCTGCCGCCTGGCCAGGCCTTCTACGCCAACCCGCCGCCCGTCGTCGGCTCGTTCAAGCCCTCCGACCTCGAGGGCAAGTGGTTCAAGGCGCAGCACGTCTCTGAGACTGGACACACCTCCACAGACACCGCACAGGCTCCCCACAGACCCCACAGACTCCACAGACGCTCCGACCTGCGCACGTGCTTCAAGGCGCGGACGCGTCGCCCTCTTCGCTCCGCGCCCCTCGAGACTCCACAGCCTCACCGCAGCCTGCTGCAGCGCCAGGCCGGCACTCCCCCTCCGGCCCTCTCCCTCTACCCAGGTGCTCGGCTACAACCCAAAGTACGACAACTACCCGTGCCAGTCCAACACCTTTACCGCCGCCGCCGACGGCGCGCGCACAACCGAGATTGAGTCGAGATTGAGTCGAGATTGAGTCGAGATGTAGAGGAGACTTCGCCCCTTCGACAACCCCCCCTCCCCCCCCCCCCGCAGGGTCGCTCGACAACGACATCCTCTTTCGCGTCCCTAAGCCGAGCGGCGCCGGCTCGTGGCAAAACAACTTCAAGGAGAAGCTCGTGGCGGGGGCGGGCCGCTCGGGCGGCGCCAACCTGGTGGTGGAGGGCAAGATGTTCGGCCTCACCTTCCACGAGGACTGGTACCTCATCGGCAAGGGCGACGGCTACCGCGTCGTCGCGTACCGCGGCGACACGCAGCAGGGGCCGTACGACGGCGCATTCGTCTTTACGCAGCAGGTCGAGCGGGGGCGCTGCAGAGCCGGGGGGGCGGCGCGCTCTTCACGCCCCTGGCTGCGAGCAGGCGGACGCGCTCGAGCGGCCGGGCGGGCAGAAGATGCGCGCCGAGATCGACGCGGCGATGCGGAGCGCCAAGCTCGATCCGGCGCAGCTCGCGCAGATCGACAACTCGTGCCCCGCGGACGCGACGAGCGCGGGCGTCTCCGCGGCCGAGGCGTCCAAGGAGAAGCTCGAGTGGAAGGACGTCTTTGAGCTCACCGAGTGGTTCCGGCCGGGCACCATCCGCAAGCAGGCCAATTTTGACCCTGCAAAGATGTAGCGACTAGCGTTGTGCGGTAGCCGCGGCGCCGCGCGGGCGGGCGAGAGATGTCAGCCGGGCTGAGAAGGCGCCAGGCCCTCGTCTCACATCTCGCGATGGTCGACACGCATGGGACGCATGCCAAAATTACGTTTGGTGCGCAATAATACACATATCACGTTCACGAGTCGCGTAGACAGGGTAGAGGAAGAGGTGCCCAGGCCGGGCGAGGCCGGCAAACACCAAACTGCGGGGACACCCCCGCCGAGCGCCGACGCCTTGATGCATGAAGGATGAAGCACGATTGATAGTGGCGCTGCGCCGCTGGCGGAGACTGGCAGGAAATTGACTGGCCACTCCTAGCTCAAACGTCAATCGTCATCAGGCAAGTCTCATCAGGCAAGTATCCTCGCGCTGTCGGCCCGTTGCGAGTCGAGGCCATCCTGCGTCCACTGCCCCGCCATGAGCCGCCTTAGGCAGGGCGCAAGCGCGGCGCACAACACCTCGTACGAGCCGCGGCTCAGCGCGAGCCCGCGCGTGCAGTGGTCCTGCACGGCGGCTCCGAAGAGGGGCGCGTCCGGTGGCGTGACGAGGAGGCGTGACGCGGAGGCGGACCCGGCGTCGAGGGTGGCGGTCGCATGTCTCCAGCCGCGCGGGAAGAAGAGCTGGTCGCGAGGGCCGAGCGTCGCCTCGAGACAGCCGCCGCCTCGCGTCTGGTTCGGCGGGCAGAGCGTCCACGCCTTTCGGCCGCGCAGCTGCACGTGCCACGCCGACGCGGGAGGGTGGTCGGCATGCAGATGCATCCCCGCGCCCGGCCCGCCGCCGACGATAAGCAGCCGCCACCGCAGCTCGCGCTCGAACCGCGCGCTCACGTTGGCGTGGCCGACCGCCGACGCGCACTCCTCCTCCGGCCGGCGGCGCGCCTCGGCCACAAAGGGCGGCTCTTCCACGCCCGCGGCGGCGAGGAGCTGCGGCCAGCGGCGTGGCGGCACCGGCAGCAGCGCGTATGCACCCGACGCATCGCCCTGCCTCAGCCGGCGCAGCGATCTGCGCGGCGCGAGCCGCAGCGCGGACGCGGCTGCGGAGCGCGCACCGCGAGGGTAAAACTCGGCATGGGCGCGCCAGCTGGAGGAGAGGTGCTCGAGGGCGTCGAGCGAGGCACCGGGCAATGAGGCCGGCTCTGAGCGGATGACAAACGGCGCCTCGTACCAGCTGGGCGGCAGCGGAGGCGACAGCTCGGGCAGAGTGAGCGGGAGGTTCGCCATGAATGGCGGTGAGGAGTGTTGTGACGGAGGCCGGCAAGCGGATCTTCCTCGAACGACCCTGATGTGTGAGCGGAGAGAGCAGGCACTGCCACAGACACTGCGAACAAAAAAAGAAAAAACTCGGCTGCTCGAATGGGATTGGGGGAGTGAGTCCCAGAAACCCGAGGAGTCACACAGTCCACCTGTGTGATGCACGCCCTGCGAGCGGGGCGGGGTGCGCACTGTCCCTCTGTGTTCGTGTGCGTCGCCCATCTCTCCCTGGAGATGACTGCTCTATTTATTTATTTTGGGGGAGTGAGGGGCTCGCGGTTGCCGAGTCGTGCCTGCCATCCCGTGTCGCGGAAGGGAGCCGGCTCGGGTTCGGGTTCTGAGGCTGCCCATGCTGTGTGTGTGTGTGTGTGTGTGTGTGTGTGTGTGTGTGTGTGTCGAGCGCGCTCATCTCGACAACAAAATCGTCAAGGCGTCGCTACGCGCGGTCTTCCGCGGGGGGAGCTTCGTCGACGGGTGCGGGATCGCGGCGCAGTCAGTGCCGTGGCGATGCCTCCGGCTGTTTGCGGCGGGCGGCTTGCTGCTCGCGGTGATGGTGAAAAACTCGTCTCGCTGCACACCAAGGGCTTTATGCTCTGGCGAGATGTGAGGCGCATGCGCCCAGGAGGGGAGGGCGCATGCGTAACGACGCTGCTAGAGATGCGTTTCGGGGCCCAGAGATAAAACTTCTGATGCCATGCATGACCTAGTAGTGTCCCCAGCTATGGGCGTGTCCACGTTGGAGCCAGGTGGTGTGGGCGCGAGAATAGCTCCGCCGTTAATGGAGGGAACCGATGCGAGTCGACTGGTGTGTGTCGTCGTGGTTTCGTATCAATAATACTCACTTGCTGCCCATGCTGTGTGGAGTTTCGCTTCACGTTTTTCTTGTTTTTCGCATCCGCTTCGCGTCTTCAGCGCCCCGACGACGCCTGCTGTCCTGGCTGTCATACTGGCTGTCATACTGGCTGTCATATACACACCTGTATATGCTCTCGCTCGTCGCCGCGCGACGGCCAGCGCCGCCGCTCGCGCCGTGTCCCGCAGTTTGCTCAGCACTCCGCGATGCGCCCAGAGTTCTCCATCTTGACCGCCGCATCGCCGCACCGAACGTGGTCCGGCTGCCCATGCCGGCGGCGGCGCTGGACGCGGCGCGTGCTGCCTTCGACGGCGCGATCCGGCCACACCTGGAGCGCAATTTGATCGAGGATCTCGAGGCGCAGCCCGTGCCGTGCTCGCAGCTTCGCTCTGCGTACGGCAACTTCTTCGTGATGCGTGGAGGCTCTTCGACTGACGAGAGCAAGAGGCACTCCTCCGACCTGGCGTGGATCAGCGTCGACGACATGCCGACGTGGGAGGCCTTTCGGAAGATCTTTGACCTGTCGGGTGTCGCCGACGCGGTCCGGCCTCTGGTGGACTGCGACGAGGGCATCCGGCTCTACTCGTCCTTCTACGTCGTTCGCTCGCGCTGCGCGTCGGCCAACCTGCACGTCGACTGGGGCGACGGCGTGGGCACGAATGCCTTCACGCTGCTCGCGCCGCTCGAGGATTACTCTGGCGTCGACGACTTCCAGCTGCTGTACGAGGCCTCCGCGGCGCGCGAGGCGGTCGCGGGTGGAGTGGGCGGCGGCGACGGGGGGCTCGCGCAGTACCGATACAGGCTCGGCGAGGCGATCGTTTTCGGATCGCACTTCTATCACTCGACGGAGCCCGGCGCGTCTGCGGGCGGCGCGGCGGCGCCGCACGTGTACCTGTGCTTCACCTTCGGGTCGGACCGCGCCTCCTTTTTCGAGGAGCACATCGCGCCCACCATCTCGGGCTACCAGAGCCGCCTGCTCGTGGCCGCGGACGGGAGCGTGCGCCTCACCGAGCTCGGCCGCCACCTCGAGGCCGAGGCCGCGCGGGGGCACCCGCCGCCGTGTCGCGACGCAGTGTGAGGAAAGGACGAAAAAGAAACAAAAACGAAAAAGTCTCCGACGAGGGAGCAGGGACCCAGGGACGGATGGGAACAAAAAAGCGGCCCGCAGGCCGCACGACTCTGGGCCGGCGCGGGGTCCCCAGAGGGTGTCCATGCGGGGTGAGATGGGGTCCCATGGTTCGCCGCAAGCGCCGATTTTTGGGGTTTCTTTTTTGCGATGTTTTACTTGTTTTCAATTTCATGGGAATTCGGGGCCCGTATACTTGCGGCCATGCTATCACGCCTTGCGACAGCCTGTCGGCGCTGCTGACCGTGCCATGATGCACAGTTGATCACCTGCATAGCTCGCGGCCTTAGTATCAAGCATTCAGTGACGACCTGATCGTACGGCCAGAAGGAAGGTGTCCTTCCAGCGCGTGCACGCTTCTGGCGCAATGCGCGTCACAAACTGCCTCGGATTGGCTGCTGGCACTCTCGAGGCTATGCCTACACAGCCTCGCGCGCATGGGCTGTCAAGAGGGACCACGCACTTCTCAGGACACAGCGCCGGTGCCTCTCTCTTGGACCGGCAAACGTGGTGGTCTCGTGTCACCGATGTGGGACCAGTGCGGCATTGCGCCATCGACAGCTCTGAACTGCGCCTCACCACTGACCGGGAAGGCCGCCAAGTGGGCCAGCACAGGTCGCACATTGTGGCAGCAGCCAGCAGTGCATGGCTGATAGCTAGAGCAGCAGCGCGTCAGGGTCGCAGGGTCGGATCGTTTCAAGCCTCTCGCCCGGCCGGCCGCGTGCAGACGTCGGCAGCCTGTCTGCTGTCTGGAGTGATCTGTCGGCGGTCAGTACGACCGATCAGGTCGGAGTTTTCTGATGGTTGGAGGGTCTGTCTGTATGTACTTCTCGAGATATCTCCAAATCTGCCCTCTATTTAACCTTTATTCGGGAATTCGGTGCTAATAGAGACTAATAGAGCCGGGGCCCCGTTCGCCGCACTGCGGCGCGGCGCACGGTGCCTCCGGGGGCCCCCGCGCCGGCCCAGAGCCGCACGAAAGAATTTGGCGCGCAGGAGAGGTCAGGAGGGGTTCCGACCGGAGCGGCAGCCTGCTGACTGCGCGGGGCTCTCGTTGCCAGCCGCAGCGTTGGAGGCTAGCTCCAGGCCCCAAATGACGTGTGAGTGTTAGAGTTGAGGCTAGCCGGCTCGCGCTAAAGGCGGGCCGCAGGAGAGGTCGGTCTGAAGAAAGAGGGAAAGCGGATAGAAAACAAGAACACAACGCACTCTCTCACATGACAAGTGATCCCACGACCGCGATTGTGGGGACTACATGATCCGTACGTGGTGAACCCGCTTTTTTTATATCTCAACTTTGCAGGTGGGCGCGAGGCGCAGGCGGCGGCGGCGGCGGCGCGAGGCGCAAGTACTGCTGTCGCTTCCTGGTGGCACCACCACCCAGTAATCGCGTGATCGCCACGTGGCGCCCCTTTTGAACGTCGCAGAACACCTGCGTATGACTGGCCTCGCAGCTTGGCTGCCACCGCTCGCCGTGATTTTCGCTCTTCTCGGGGCACAGGCAAGACCCATTGCGATATTCAGCCGCAGGTCACCACCGCCGCCGCGCTTGCCGCCGCCGCCGCCGCCACCGATGTGGCTCTGGTCGGCTCTGGTGGCAGCGCCGCCGCCGCCGCCGCTGCCGCCACTTCTGTATCGGCGCCCGCGGGCAGCACGAAGCGCCAGCAGAGACGCGTCCTCGACCAGCACGGCAGGTGCCAGCACGGCAGCGCTGGATCCGGACCCGCACGGGAGCAATACCTCCGGCGACGAGCACGCCACGGGGAGATCTCACCGGCACGACGACGACGACACCTTTGTCGGTGCCGGCGGCTGCGGCGAGCACTGCCGGCGCTCAAAGGGAAAGTGCGTCGCCCTCATCGGGGAAGCGGTCGCAGGGTCGCCTCGAGGCGTGGTTCTCCGCGCTCTAGGTA